TCTAGCCCAGACGCCAAAAGTGCAGGGCCTGCCCTGGGGATGCTTGGGAAAGGAAAGCTCCTGCCAAAAGTTTGGGGCTAGTCTGTGATGGGAGAGGAAGAAGAAGGGAGAAGATTCTCAGGGACACCCCCTACTTACCACTGACATCTTTGCCCAGAATGCCTTTGGCCTGCTTCACCGTTGCCTTCAGACAAAATATTGGCTTCTAGAGGGACGGGAGAGGGCTGCTGAGTCCGTGGGGGGGGGTGTTGAGGGGGGCACAGCCTCCTCTTTCTTTAGATGCCAAGGTTACCTCGAGCTCCTGGACACGCTGCAGGATCTGCTGGTGCTCCTCCGGGGGTACCTGGAAGGCCTAGGGAGGAGGCCATGAGGGGGAGGCAGGGATATGGAGGCTGCGGACCCAAGGGGTGTGGCCAGGCTGGGAAGGGTGGGCTCTAGAGTCCAGGTGGGACAGCATGGCGCATGGGGCGGGGACTGGCTCACCTCCTGCAGGTATCGAAGCAGCTCGGAGGCCTGGATCACGTGGTTGGGCTCAGGATGACCCACGCGGTGCAGGACAGTGTAGAGTGCTTCCTCATACAGCAGGTCCCGCTGAGACACAGTGGGGACCCCACGGGACCCTCGTGACCCCCCTCCCCTCTGCCATCCCTAGTACCGACACCTCACGCCGCCCCCACGCAGGGACAGGAAGTGGCGTTCGCAGGGGAAGAGGCTGAGACTCTGAAGTCCTCCCTGGGCTTGGGCTGAGGGACATTCCCAGAGGGTCCCGGAGGATGCAGGGCTGCGACCTCCTCTCCCCGTGCCCCATCCTCTTACCTCCTCACGCGAGAAGTGGTGCGATGGAGGCTTGATCTGGAGAGCAAGATGGAAAGGCCAGGTTTCCTGGTGACCTCTCCCTGGCCAGGCAAGGTCTAGGCCTAGGGCGGCAGAGTCCCGCACCCCAGCTTCCGGGCCCACCAGCGCCTCATACCTGTTCCCATGGCAGGTCTCCTGGGGGACTGGCCCCTGGCCTGCCTTGCTGCTCCCCTGGCCTGTTACCGCTGAGGTCCATGGATGCTCAGCTGGCCCAGCCACGGGCCCGTGCCACCTCCCCCCTTCCCCGCCACCCCACCTTCCTGCCCCAGAGGAAACAGCAAAGCTTATCAGCCTGCTCCTCACCCCAGCAGCGGAAATGAGGCCCAGCGCTGAGATGAGGGGGCTGGAGGGGGATGCTGGGTAGGCCTAGGGTGGCTCAAGGGTCCCCAGTACCCCAGTGCTGGTAGCAAGAACACTGCCCTGGGACAAGATCAGGTCTGCTAAAGAGAGGGGGCTAGACAGACTCAGGTCCCAAACCTGAGAAACCCTTGGTAGTCCAAAGAAATGGTAGATGCAGCTCTGCTAGCCCAGCATGCTGCCCAGGACCAATGGGGGGGAGGGGGGCAGGTAGGTAGATGCAGGCAGCCAGGAAGGGTCCCATACATCTATACACCAAAGCCTCAGGGCAGGCGCTAGGCAGCCCCAAGCACCAGCTCCTCTCCCCCCCCTTCCCCCCCCCCCCCCCGCCGACCCTCCTCCCCCCACTCCGGGGTCCCTCCTACCTCCTGTGCTGCCTGGGCCCGGGCATCTGGGAGATCTCGAGCTCCTCTGTGTCTTATCTTGATGGCCCGACGCAACCGCTGGGGGTCAGAAAGGCGTGTCGCCATGGTGCTCAGCTCTGCCCTTCCCTCTGCTGCCCCACAGCCGCTGGGTGAAGACAGCAAAGCCACAGGATGATGCAAAGAGCCCCGGGGCTGCCTGTGCGCCAGGGGAGGGTGGAGGGCGGGCAGCCAGGGAATGGGGCACCGTGTCACTGTCTTGGAGGGGTTGGCTGTCTCCCAGGCAACCTGTATCTTTCTCCAGCTGGCATTCCTATAGGATCTTCCCCCGGGGGCCTGAGCCGGGAAGTGGGCCCTGTGGGCAGCCCGGCCCCACCCCACCTCCCACAGAGGCCCTGGAGAGGGTCCAGGGCTCACTGCAAAGGGCCACAGGACCAAGCCACACAGCCAAGCCAGGCAGTGCCCTACCCAAAGCTGACGGGCCTTCCCGGACTAAACGTCAGATGTGGGCAGGGGTGGGGCAGGCTGTGGGGTGGGGCTCCGCAGGCATTTCTCCAGCAGGCAGCCAATGGCGCAAACTGTTCCACCCCACAGGTGACATTCCATGCAGGTGACAAGTCAAGCTGTGTAAAGAGGGGCCAGCTTGTGTCTCCCCGAACTCCACAGCCCCTGGGGCAGGGCCGGCGGGAGGGGGAGGCTCCCATGCCAGCCTCTTCACAGGGCAGCTGTGGGCCCCAAGGGAAAAGGAAACTTTAGCACTGGGGTTCCAAAGCTCCTGGACCAGTTGGGGACAGGGCCCAGGCTTGGCCCAAAGGCTTCGGCTTTTTCCCCCATTCTCTTCCCAGCAGGTACACAAGGCGGCTCAAGGGCACACAATTCGCCTTCCCTTCCCCTGCGCATCTTGGCAACATCTAAGCTCTAAGGCCCAGGGCAGGTGGGGCTGCCAACCAAGGCCGTTGACAAAAGCAGCGGCTCCTTTCCTGAGCACCTGTCACTCACGGCTTTGTCCTTCCGTGTCCCTTTATGTCTCTATCCATCTACTCTTAGACATAGGCCCACCATGGTCCTGGGACTGTGCTTGTAGGTGAGATCACTGAAGCATATGGTTAGATTTGTCCTTCACAAGTCCCGGCAGGTTTCGCCTCCTTCCTTCAGTACCTGGCCTGAGCCTGGACCTGGGCAGCCAGTAGGAGCTGCATGCAGGAGACATAGGCTCTGTTTCCAGGCAGGCACTGGGTGGCACCACCCAGCCAGATGTTGGGGGCTTTGATAGCTGCTGACTAAACATGCTGTTAAGAATCGGGGTCTTCGGGGCTGAGAAGGTAGCTCAGTGGTAGAGCGCTTGCCTTGCGTGCATGAGGCCCTAGGTTTGATTCCTCAGCACCACATAAGCAGAAAAAAAAAGCCGAAGTAGCGCTGTGGCTCAAGTGGTAGAGCGCTAGCCTTGAGCTGAAGAGCTGAGGGACAGCGCCCAGGCCCAAAGTTCAGGCCCCATGACTGGACCCCCCAAAAAAAAATCAGGGTCTTGGTTGGGAAGGTGGCTCAGTGGTAGAGTGCTAGCCTTGAGCACAGAGAGGCTCAAAGTCAAGTGACCAGATCCTGAGTTCAAGCTCCAGGACCAGCCAAAAAAAAAAGAGAATAAGGGTCTTGCTGGTGCCGGAGGCTCACGCCTGTCATCCTAGCTACTCAGGAGGCTGAGATCTGAGGACCATGGTTCAAAGCCAGCCTGGGCAGGAAAGTCCATGAGACTCATCTCCAATTCACCACCAGAAAACCAAAGTGGCGCTGTAATCCTAACTACTCAAGAGGCTAAGATCTGAAGATCATGGTTTGAAGATAGCCTGGGCAGGAGAAAGTCCAGAGACTTATTTTCAACTAGAAAGTAGGAAGTAGAGCTGAGTCAAATAGTAGAGCACATCCTTGAGCAAAAAGCTAAGGAACACACCCACATCCTGAGTTCAAGCCTCAGTACCGACACCAGTGGAAGTGTGGATCAAGTGGTGGAGTGACAACTTTGAGTGAAAAACAAAAAAAAAGTGAGCCGGGCGCTGGTGGCTCCTGCCTGTAATCCTAGCTACTCAGAAGGCTGAGATTGAGGATCACGGTTCAAAGCCAGCCTGGGCAGGAAAGTCTGTGAGACTCTTATCTCCAATAAACTACTAGAAAACCAGAAGTGGCGCTGTAGCTCAAGGGGTAGAGCACTCTCCTTGAGCTGAAGAGCTGAGGGACAGCGCCCAGGCCCAGAGTTCAAGCCCTACGACTGACAAAAAAAAAGTGAGCTTATGAAACCTTTTGTTCAAGTCCAGGTACCAGTGAATGCATGCATGTGCCGTGTACATGCATGCACGCGCACGTACACACACACACACACACACACACTCTCTCTCTCTCTCTCTCCCCCTCCCCCAAGGAAAAAGAGAAATGAAGGAGAAAGAAAAAGGAAGGAAAGGAGGGAAGGGGGTCTCTCACCTGGAGAGAAGAGGAACCCTGTGTCCCCCCTCCCACAGCCAGCCAGTCCTTCTGGAAGGACTTACCCTGGTCACCACACAGAGCCAGAAAGGGTCCAGTTGCTTCAGTTTTACTATTTCACAGTTTTAGCAAACAAATCCAAGGTGCAAACAGGGTTTATTTCACATTAATATATTAACTGGATTTTGTCAAATAAATAGGGAATTCTCTTTAAATAACCATCTCCTCATTTTGTGGCCAGTCCAGGAACAAATCTTAATGCATCCAGGGGGCGTGAAGCTTTGAGGGGTGGCAGCAGAGTGTGGGGACACAAGGGTTGCAGCCCTTGTTCACAGCCCACCCTGCAGCCTCTGCCTGGCACAGTGGGCCAGACATGCGCTGAACAACTCCCATCAGGAAGCCCCTTAGAGTGGGAGAAGACCTGAAGGGGGTAACAGATTAGACTTTCTAAGGGGGGGGGGGGGGGGCAAAAGGGCTTTCTCCCTGAAACCAAGGCCTTGTCTCCCGTCCCGCCACACAACAGCTCATGGTAACGCTCCCAAACCCACACAGGAGGCAAGGCGCCGGGCCTGGCTGGATGGAATGTGGCCTAACAGCTGGGGGGGAGGGGGCCCCCTGCCTTCCAGGGCCAGGCGCCCAGCAGGGGACGGAATGGGAGAGCCTGGCAGGCCTGGCGGGAAGACATGGCTGCCCTGCCAGCTCACAGGGTTGTGTGTAGTCTGGTGGCCAGACCCAGGGGCTGGACTGTAGTGGAGGAGGTGGTCAGAGAGTCCCTCGGTGGGAAGGCGCTAGTGGAGCTGTTATCAGAGCGAAAGAGGAACCAGAGGGACAGCCCGTGCTCCTGGGAGCCCCAGAGATGGCGAGAGGGAAGCAGCACTGTGGGCTGGGCTAGCCTGGGAAACTGGGGTGCCTCTCTAGAGGTCAAGGGGCCACGCCCTTCCCACATTGCTCATTCCAGGTTAACTGTTTATGATCAGATGGGGAAGAATGGCCCTGTAGGCCTCCCCTCCCCCGCCCCCAAGAAGAGAGGCAGGGAGGTAGGCGGGGTCTACTGCGTCTTCTTGTCTTCTGGGGGGTAATAAGGTGGGGGTGGAGGCTGGCTCTGAGAAGGAAAGGAGAGAGAACATTAGAAGGTTCACTTCAAGCTAGGGTCTCCCCCACCCTTGGCCCCGGCCAGCAGGGCCCAGGCCGTGGGCCCATCCCACTCACCGTGGGCATGTAGACGTTGTGTGGGTTGCCTGGGTTGTAATAGGCGCTGGCAGCCGCTTCTGCAGCCTTGGCCTCCGCTGTGAGGCAAACACAGGGCAGGCATTGGTGACAATCCCTCCAGCCCGCGGCCTAAGCCCCAGGGCCCAGGACAGCTGGTGCCAGGGACCCAGACCAAAGCTGCAGTGAGTTTCCAGAGCACCTGTCACAGGCTGCCACTTTACGTGTCTCACTGAGCTACTCAGACGCAGCCCACCAGGTGGTCCTGTGGCCATCTGTTTGTAGAGAATAATGCAGGGAGACCTTCCTAGTCACACGGCTAGCTAAGGCACAGATGACCTGAAATCTAGCTCTTCACCCACTTTCTGGTCCCCGGGATGGAAGTCCTGCATCATTTGTGGCTCTCAGTAGTCTGGCCATTTTGAGATTTTCTAGGAGATCTTGGGGAGTGGAGGGCTGGTCCCAAAAAACTGCTACAGCCCAGGGGCCTTACCTGCTGGAGTGGAAGGGACATCAGGGCCGCTGACCGGAGGCTCCATGGGCCCGGGATAGGGTGGAGGCGGGGGCTGCACATAGCCCATGGCTCCATCCATCATGGGAGGTCCTGGGTAGAACTCTGCACAGCAAGAAATGTCAGGGACCCAGTGAGCAGCCAGGCCCTCAGCGTTCCCCAAGACGGCTGTTCCCAGAGCTGCCTGCCCAGCTCCTCAGGGCGCCCTCTGAGCCTCTCTGATGTGTGTTAGTGCTAAAGCAGGTGAAGGAACTAGCGTCCCCTCTCTACCCTCTAGCCTGGGAGAGGCCGTTAGTGGATGGGTGGGGTGGGCAGCAAAGGACACACTCACCAGGTGGGGGCGGTGGATAGGGGTAGCCAGGAGGGCAGGGGTACATTCCATTGGCGACTGGTGGGGGAAAGACATAGGCCCCGCTGGGCATGTAAGGGTACCCATAGGCTCCATTGGGGGCTTCACCTCTGGAAGCTATAAGTACAAGGGGAGAGAGACATGAGTGGCGCCGGCCTCAGGGACCGCTGGGTCCCTGGACTGGGCTAGCAGGCATACCCTAGCTCCATCCCGCCGCCCACCCCACGTGGGACTGCCTTAATCAGGACGCCGCGAGAGGAGAGGTCAGAGCCATGGAAGTCAAGGACAGGGGGAGGCATTCGAGATGGGGTAAAGGATGGAACCCAGCGCTCGGGAATTTTAGATGGTTGCTTAGAGGCACTTTTATGGTTGGGTTGCTTGTTTTAAAATGTACAAGCATGAGCAGCTCTGTCAGAATGACATCTGCCTGCTCCAGGCGGGTGAAGCCCAGGCTTTGGGTTCAGAACACACAGGATGGTAATTATAGGCTTCCTTCCCCCATCTCTAGCCCGGGTCAGCCCTGGTCAGCTGAGCGCAGATACTTATCTGTTGGTGCTTACAAAACAACAACAACAAAAAAAAAACAAGTTCAAACAAAAAGCCCACATGCTGGCTGTGCCATCCGTCCCCTAAATCTTAGAGCCTGGCTACCTTGAGAGGCCACCTGCAGCATCCGCTGTCCAAACTCAATGGCGCCCCCTGCCGTGAAGGTCAATTTGTAGGAAGCGGAGCCTTCCCAGCCACCTGAGAAAGGGACAGGACAGGTGAATGGACAACTCGGGAAAGAGAACAGGCCAGATCCCCAGCCCCACAGACATGACTTCAGGCCCTGAGCCAGTGCGCACGTGTGTGTATACCATCACTGGTGCTTGGGCTTGAGCTCAGGGCATTGTGTTCTTGCCATGCTTTTTTTGTGTGCAAGGCTAGCACTCTACCACTTGAGCCACAGCTCTATTTCTGGCTTTTTGCTGGTGAACTGGAGATTAGTAAGAGTTTTATGGACTTTGCTGCCCAGGCTGGCTTTGAATCATGATCCTCAAATCTCAGCCTCCTGAGTAGCTGGGATTACAGACACGAGCCACTAGCACCTAGCTACAACAAGCACTTTTATTTGGTTTTCTACTCTGTTCACTCTCTGGAAAGATGATCTGAGTGGCTAACTTTAACCCAGCATTCCCCAGCTACCAGTATTAGGCAAATGCACATGCATTCCTCCGAAGTTAACCTAGAGCTGGGAAAGGGACCTGGCTAGGATGGTGAAGGGCCTGGGGGTGGATCCCCGAGGTGGCAGTCGGAGCTGCCCACAGCCCCTCCGTGGGGGCCATCTGTGCCCCATTTGTGCCCAAGCTCCCTCGCTACCTACCTCCTGCTTCGGCCTTCACCATTCCCTTGATGTAGTTTGCACCAAATACAGGCTGCTTGATCTCACAGTCCTTCATCAGATAAAATGGCATCATGAAGGACTGCATGGCATCCTTCCCCTTGGACAGAAAGATGATCTGCAGGGAGAGAGGCCAAGGGCCATCAGTGCCAGAACTGCCGCTGGCTCTGGCTCAGCCGTCATCCCCGACCCGCTTCCTGCAGATGACAAGTCTACTCCCAACTGCCAGCCCTGCAGCCCCCGGGCGCTCTGCACCAGATCTTCAGAGGAAGCACTATAAAGGAAAAGGCCCCAAGAGTGGCCTAGAGAGGCCAGACTCAGTTCACAAGGGGAAGTGAGCAGGCAGGACGGCTGTCATTGAAGGAGCAGAGGTAGTGGCAGAAAGTAGCCCTGATGTGAAGAGGTCTATGACACAAGGGACACACAGGCAGGGGCAGGGCAGAGGCAAGGCAGGGCAGGGCAGGGCAGGGCAGGGCAGGGCAGGGCAGGGCAGGGCAGGGCAGGGCAGGCCCAGCTTGAACCTTAAACAATGGAGCTGTAGCAGGGGATTAGAGGCCAGAAGGGATCATCATGACCTTCCCACAGTGGTCTCTGCCCAGAGGCCACATAGCTCTCCTGTCCTGTACCTACAGTTTCAAAATCACCTGATAGGGTTGGGAATGTGGCTTAGTGGTAGAGTGCTTGCCGAGCACGTATGAAGCCCTGGCTTTGATTCCTCAGTACCACATCCACAGAAAAGGATGGATGTGGTGCTGTGGCTCAAGTGGTAGAATGTTAGCCTTGAGTAAAAAGAAGCTCAGGGACAGTGCCCAGGCCCTAAGTTCAAGCCCCAGGACTGGCCAAAAATAAATATCCCTTGATAAATTCAATGTAACCAAAGACTTGAACTATCAGATGGGATATTGAGGGCCTCATGTGTTAGTCAAGCCGAATAAAACCCGAAATGTGTTTTTTCTAGTTTCATAGAAAGCTATGGACAGGGGGCTGGGAAGGTGGCTCAGTGGTTGAGCGCTTGCCTTGCATGCCTGAGGCACTGGGTTCGATTCCTTAGCACCACATAAGCAAAAAGAAAAAAGCAAGAAGTGGTGCTGTGGCTCAAGTGGTAGAGCGCAAGCCTTGAGCTGAAGAGCTGAGGGATAGCGCCCAGGCCCAGAGTTCAGGCCCCACGACCGGACCCCCCCCCCAAAAAAAAAAAAAAGAAAGCTATGGACAGGGACTTGTTCCTATTCATCTCTCAGAGCCTGTGTTGCAGTCTGGCATTTTCTGTTAGGCTCTCAGCCCACCCAGCCTGCAGGAATTCTATTTTTTTTTTTTAAATCACTTTGGAAGTGGGCACAGGCTTCAGGCTACTCCAGGCCCAAATCATCACAGCTGCTGCATCGCACTCTAGAGAGAGTCTGTGGCAGCAGCTCTAGAATTTGCCTAGACCCACTGCCCAACAGTCAGCTGATCTGCACAAAGAGCCTGACGGGTCTAGAGTCCAGAAGGAGCACGTGACAGAAAAACAGGAGGGGGAAGGCACTAAGAGTTCACCAGGGCTGAAGCCACTCAAGTCATCAGGTGAAGGATAAGGAATACAGGACTACAAGAGCAGAGGGCCTCTAGCTCAAATGACCTGTTGTACAACTCACCCGGTAAGGGGTAAGGTAGACGGTGCCCTTCTTGGTCCCTTTGAAAGCCTCTGGTATGTTCTTCATGTCATTGAATGTGAGCTCCACATGGTCATAAGACATCAGGATGCTGTGAGGAGATTAGATAAAAGGCCTTGACGAGATGGCAGATGTCATCTGTCACCCCACACGCTGGCCAGGTTGCCCAGCAGTCCCGACTGGGCTTACGGAAACCATTTAGCGCAGCCAAGAAGAGACAAACGCATTGAGGTCAACAGAATTTCACCAAATTCCACTTACACAGCCCCACATGACCAGCAGCCAGGAGCAGAACTCCAGGACTCTGGAGATGCCCTCATCTCTCCAAGGTATACTGGATGACCTGCGTTCCTTCTAAGTCCTGCGAGTGATGTGCTAGTTTGCTGCAGTTTTAGGCCTAACAGATAAACATGGCTTAACGTCTAAGACACGAGTCTACATACAACAAAGCGGCGTCCTTCAAGGCTCCCTTATGTCCTGGCTTCTTAAACTGATCTGCATCGATGCCTGTCCAGAAAGCTTTGGAGATGATCACATTTTTCTGGGAGGACAGAAAGCTTTCTGTCTCTTAAAAAGGCTCAGGAATTAAACATTGTTTATTATTTTAAACACCAAAGTTTAAACATGACTTAAAACTTCAATTATGGGGGCTGGGAAGGTGGCTCAGTAGTAGAGTACCTGCCTTGCATGCATGAGGCCCTGGGTTTGATTCCTCAGCATCACATAAGCAGAAAAAGCCATAAGTGGCGCTGTGGCTCAAGTGGTAGAGCGCTGGCCCTGAGCTGAAGAGCTGAGGGACAGTGCCCAGGCCCAGACTTCAGGCCCCACCACCAACAAATCAAAACAAAAAACAAACAAAAAAAACCCCTTCAATTATGGAATGTGGATTAGTGGTAGAGTGCTTGCCTAGCATGCATGAGGCCCTGGGTTTGATTCCTCCGAACCACATAAAATTAAAAACAAAACAAAAAACCCAACCTTCAATCATGTTAACATTATTTTTTCTTTCAGAAGTAAGGTTGTCTGGGTGCCAGCCACTTGCCTATAATCTCAGCGTTAGGAGGCTGAGATCTCAGGATCCCAATTCAAGGCCAGTTGGGAAGAAAAGTCCTCAAGACTCATCTCCAGTCAACCAGCAAAATGCCAGACTGGAGATGTGGCTTAAGAAGGAGAACATCATATTTAAGCAGAAAAGGCAAGAAAGAGTGCAAGGCTTTTCCAGGTGCTGGTGGCTCATGCTTATAATCCTAGCTACTCTCAGGAGGCTGAGTCTAAGGACCATGAATCAAAGCCTGCCTAGGCAGGAAAGTCTTTGAAACTTTTTTTTTGGGGGGGTGGGTCATTGGGCTTGAACTCTGGGCCTGAGCACTGTCCCTCAGCTGTTCAGCTCAAGGCAAGCGCTCTACCACTTGAGCTATAGCACCACTTCCTGTTTTGAGTAGTTTATTGAAGAGTCTCATGTACTTTCCTGCCCGGGCTGCCTTTGAACCGTGATCCTCAGATCTCAGCCTCCTAAGTAGCTAGGATTACAGACACGAGCCACAGGTGCCTGGCTTCTTTGAAACTCTTATCTCTCAGAAATTACTCAAGAAAAAAAAAAAAAAGCCAGATATGAAGCTGTGGCTCAAGTGCTACAGCACTAGCCTTGAGCAAAAAAAGCTCAGGAACAGTACCCAAGCCCAGCCAGAGTTCAAGCCACGGCCCTGAGTTCAACCCCAAACACCAGCACACCAAAAAAAAAAAAAAAAAAAGTGAAGAAGTTGAAGTATGGCTCAAGTGACAGAACGCCAGGCTTGAGCAAAAAAGCAGAGCGAGAGCACAGACCTGAGTTCAAGCCCCAGTAAGGGAACTAAAAAATAAAATATGCAGAACAAGAAGTAAGGCTGAGACAGTTCCCCAAAGAAGGCACACCCTGTGTAGCAACCGAAGAAATGTCCCAATGAGAAAGAAAAGCAGTCCCAAGAGATTTACCAAATGACATCACAAGTATTTGGCCAGTTCCTGGACCTGGCTCAAAAACACAGATGCAACAAACTAGAGAGCAACGAAGTTTCTGATTACATGATTAAAAAAAGAAAAGTCCAAGTTCAGATGGCTCATTGTTCTTCTTTCCTCTTCCCAAATACAACTTTCCTGACTGAGTAATGGGAAGAAAAGACAGCTGGCCCAATATGGGAGGACAGCTCAGAGGAAAAGAGGTGTTTACCAGGAACAGGCTGGGCCCATCGTAAGATGGAGACAAAGCCAGCCTTCCAGGTCTGGCCTTCACCCCACTCCAGGCTTTCTCCTCCTGACTCACTAGGCATTTCCAAGTGACACATCGCAGTCTGGGTGCTGATCTAAGTGCAGGTTCTGTCACCGCCACGGTGTCTCCCTGGGGAATGTGGGCGTCTCCTAAGCTGCTCCTCACCTTCCAAAGCCAGCAGACCTCAACCCAGGTTTGGAGACCCTGATGGTCAATACCCGAGGAGTAAACAGAAGACGGAGAGACCTCGGGCCAGGAGCTCAGAGGCTGGAGAAGAGATAAAATGCACTTGGGCAGAGAGGAGAGAGAAAGAGAGGAGTAGGAAAGCTCTTGAAGTTGGGGCAATCTCTGTTCTGGGAAGTGACAAGCCCCTGGGAATTCAAGAAAGAGAAAGGGACCAACAGTGGACAAGGAACCACATTCGTGCCTGGAACTGAATTCAGCCAGCTGCCCAACACTATCTGATGTTACCTCGGGGACCTCAGCTGTTCGCTGCTGCTTCTTCTTTTGTGGTCGTTGTTCTGGCCCTGGGCTTGAACCCTTGAACTCAGGGCCTGGGCACTGTCCCTGAGAGCTTGTCTGGCTCAAGGCTGGCGCTCTACCACTGGCGCTCCCGCTGCACTTCCCCCTGTTTCCGGAGCCTCGGCCTCGGGAGTAGCTGGGGTCACAGGCGTGAACCCCCAGCCCGGGGCTCTCGGCTTTTCCCGGCGTGGTTCCGGAGTCTGCCGGTGGTTAGGTGAGGCTGACCCGGGGGGTCTGCAACGCCCTCCCGTTCATTCCCGGCTCTGGACCGGAGGGCGCGTCACCCGACCTCCCCCGGGCCTGCCCTCGGTCCATCCATCCGTCCGACGTGTACTAGTTCCGGGCGCCCACGAGCTCGGGGTTCAGGAAGGCAGGGAGGGGCGGCGGCCCCGGGGCAACCGCGGCCCCGGTGCCCAATAAACGACGATTGTTTTTGTGTAAGGCTCCTCCTCCTCCCAAGTCCCCGACTCCGCGAAGAGGCTCCAGAACCATCCCTAGGCCTGACGGGCGGGCCCGACCCCGGTGCCTGCCGCCCGTCCGTCCGTCCGTCCGCCCCCACGGGGTCGCGACTTCCGGCCGCCCCCGCCGCCGGTCCCCCGGCCGTTACCCCCGCGCCCCATCGCGTCCTCTCCTCGGGAGAAGCCCCCCACCGCCCACCGCCCACCGCCCACACTACTGACAGCCACCCGGCGGCTCTCCAGAATCCTTCCGCAGTGTTTTCACCTCTCCGTGTTGTTGACGATCACTCCGCCGCCTTCCGAGTGATTCTTGTTGAGCGCCATGGTCACTGCGAGAGGGGGGGGAAATCCCGAGACTCGCAACGCACTGCGCCTGCGCCTCTCTTCGGCCCGCCTCTCTCCCCCCTAGTGGCGTCGTTCAGAATACTGTCGGCCAATCATAGCTCTGGAGCAGAAGCTGAGCCAACCACCTGAGCCTGAGCGTCACGTGGTAATAGTTTACTTGCCTCGCTTCCCCCCCCCCCCCCCCCCCCCCGCCCGACTCCCAGTGGCTTGCTGCATCACAAACAAGCTGAAGCCTACAATTCCCAGCAGGCAACGCTCCGGCCATTTCGGCCTCTCGCTACGCTTTCTGGGAGATGATTGCATTCTGGTACTTGTAGTCTCCAGAGGCCGTAGGTCGGGCTTGACTTCTATAGGGTGCCCTGGGTGCGGCTCTGCCCTAGACTCGGCTCCCTACGGGGAGGATTGCCTTCCAGGCAATGAGTGGTTGGCCGAGTCCGGACGAGCTGCCATCGCTTTAATCAACTCCGACTCGGACGCTCTTAGATGGGCCGTGAAAACCACCGCGGGTGCCGGAGCCCGGGCTCGGGAGGGCCGGGCCTGGTCCCCTCCCGGTGCACGGAGCCCGCCGCCTCCACCGCCGCTGGCCTCGCGGGGGCGCTGGAGCGCCGCCTGCCCCGCGGGGTCCCGGCGGAAAGACCTCGGCTGGACCCGGGCTGACGGAGGGAGCGGAGCCCGGCCCGGCCCGTCTGAGCCCGTGATCCGGCGGTGATCGCCGCCTGGCAGCACCCCGGAGGGGACCCTTTGGGGGGGTCCTCAGCCCCCGGGTGGCATCGTGTATCCTTAAGGGATCAGAGTTTGACTTTAGGAAAATAATTGAATTACTGACTGGGGTCAGCTGGGGGTGGGGATGGGGGTGGGGCCCTGGGGCTTGAACCAGGCCTGGGCACCATCCTTCGGCTTTTTCACTCGAGGCTGGCACGCCAGGGCTTTGAGCCACAGCTCCGCTTCTGGCATTTTCTGGTGCTTCATTGGCGATCAGAGTTTCACGTACTGTTCTGCCCGTGCGTTGCTGGGATTACAGGCGTGAGCCATTGGCACCTGCGAGATTTAGCCTTTTTTTCTTTTTCTTTTTGAGATCGGATTACAGATGCGTGGCTACCCAGCCCAACCTAATTTAGCTTTAGGGAGATTTCCTCCATGAAGGAACAAAATCTACCTCACTAGAAGAAAAGATTGTGTTAAAGTCCTGCAAAAGACATCCAGGGTTAGCTCTTGAAGGACAGGTGTAGTGAGTTAATGATGCTCATGATGAAGTCTTCCCTATATGGTTAGATTAATTTTTGCACTGGCAATCTATGCAGCAGGTACAAAGGATTAGGTCAAACTCTATGTGCTGATATGGGAAGATCTAGTAAATACACAATGGTGTAGGCTATAGATATAAAATTTCAGGAAGGTCAGGCGCTGATGGCTCACACCTGTAATCCTAGCTACTGAGGAGGCTGAGATCTGAGGATCTCGGTTCAAAGCCAGCCCGGGCAGAAAAGTCCGTGAGACTCTTTATTTCCAATTAACAACTAGAAAACCGGAAGCAGTAGAGTGCTTGCCTTGAGCTGAAGAGCTAAGGGACACAGTGCCCAAGCCCAGAGTTCATGCCCCACGACCGACCAAAAAAAAAAAAAAATTCAGGAAGGGGCCAGGAATGTGCCTACCATGCATGAAGCCCTGGGTTCAATTCCTCAATTCCACAAAAACAGAAAAGGCTAGAGATGGCGCTGTGGCTCAAGTGGTAGAGTGCTAGCCTTGAGAAAAAGAAGCTCAGACACAGGGCCCAGGCAAAACTAAATAAATAAATAATTCAGGAAAGGTGTACCAGAAATTGTTAGCACTCTCTGAGAAATGGTTTCTGGAAATTGGGGTGTGCTTGTGATTTTAAGAGTACATTGGCCAGGCGTTGGTGGCTTAAGCCTATAATCCTAGCTACTCAGGAGTCTGAGATCTGCAGATCAAGGTTGGAAACCAACACAGGCAGAAAAGTCCCCCGGAGACTCTTATCTCTAATTAACTACTCAAGAAATGGAAGTGATGCCCTTGCTCAAAGAGCTAGAATGCTAGCTTGAGCCGAAGAGCTCGGGGACAGTGCCCAGGCCCTGAGTTCAAGCCTCACAACACCAACACAAAAACAATTCCCCTCCCCAGTACACTGTATTTTTTTTTTTGGGGGGGGAACCTGTCCTGGGGCTTGAACTCGGGGCCTCCCACTCTCCTTTGGCTTCTCTCAAGGCTGGTGCTCTATTGCTTGAGCTACACCTCCATTTCTGGCTTCCTGCTGGTTAAGTGGAGACAAGATCTTGAAGTTTGTGTACCTAGGAAGGTATTGAACTGCGATTCTCAGATCTCAGCCTCCTCTGAAATAGCTGAAACTACAGCTGTGAGTCACCAGCACCAGGCTTGTATTGTTTGATTTTTTTTTTTCTTTACTATGTGCATTTGAGTAAATACCAAAATAGCTACAGAATTGTTTAAATTATTTTAAAATAAAATCCTTCTCTGAGTCTTAGAGATTTACTGATAGGAGAAATGATGTCAGTAACTAAATTGCATAGAGGAAAGAGTTTTCCAGAATCTAACAATAACCTTGCAAACTTTGAGAAATACTGACTTGCTTTACTTCTTGACCTGGACATTACAATGCACATACAAAATATATGATAAAAGCCTGGGCATGGTTTCCTTCAGATATCTGTGCTGAAGTTTCCTGATTTGCAAATCTATTCCTCATCAGAATCAAAACTGTCCTTGCTTTGTTTTAGCCTTATTTATGACTTCTTGGATTATAAATTTAAATGTTAATAATAAGCTGGAGAAAGAAAGAAAAAATCCACCCAGCCATGGGTATTCAGGAATGGTTACTCTCAGGATCATGTAAGGGAAGTTGGGGACAGCTGTATGGCCCCCACCAAACATGGAGACAGAGGCAGATCTGCGTCTTGGATCTTTTGGCCTGGAGCTTACAGCGTGTTGGAGTCCCTCCCCCCCTCCCTCCCCCCCCATGTGTGCTGTCCCTCTCACTCTCTCTTGTGTCTATTCTGGGGCTTGAACTCAGGGCCTGGGTACTGTCCCTTAGCTTTTTTTATTTGAAGCTAGTACTCTACAATTTGAGCCACTGTTCTACACCTGAATTTCTTTTTGTGCTAGTCCTGGGGCTTGAACTCAGGGCCTGAGCACAGAGCTGCTTTTGCTTAGCACTCTACCACTTGAGCCACAGTGCTACTTCTGGCTTTTTCTGTTTTTTTTCTTTTTCTTTTTTTTTTCAGTCGTGGGGCTTGAACTCTGGGCCTGGGTTCTGTCCCTCAGATCCTCAGCTCAAAGCAAGAGCTCTACCACTTGAGCCACAGCTCCACTTCTGGTTTTCCACTCATTTATTGAAGATAAGAGCTTCATGGACTTTCCTGCCCTGGCTGGCTTTGAACCACGATCCTCAGATCTCAGCCTCCTGAGTAGCTAGGATTATAGGCGTGAGCCACTGACATCCAGCTGGCTTTTTCTGTTTATGTGGTACTAAGGAATTGAACCCAGGGCCTCATGCATGCGAAGACAGACACTCTACCACTGAGCCACATTCCCAGCCCCTCACATTTGGCTTTTTGATGGTTTACTGGAGATAAGAGTCTCACAGACTTTTCTGGCCAGCCATCTTTGAGCCAAAATCTCCAGATCTCAGCCTCCTAAGTCGCTAGGATTACAGAAATGAGCCAACAGGGCCCAGCTTGTAGGCCCTCTTTAGGAAATAAAAACAGCCAAGGCTAATGGCTCACACTTGTAATCCTAGCTACTTAGATTTAGATCTGAAGATCATGGTTCAAAACCATTTTGAAGTAGATTCATGGCTCGAGCTTTAGAACAACAGCCTTGAGTTTAAAAAAAAAAAAAAAGTTAAGACGTGGGCTGGGAATGTGGCTTAGTGGAAGAGTGCTTGCCTAGCATGCATGAAACTGGAAGTGGCGCTGTGGCTCAAGTGGTAGCGCGCTAGCCTTGAGCAAAAGCAGCCCAAGGGCAGCGTCCAGGCGCTGAGTTCAAGTCCCAGGACTGGCAAAAGAAAAAGAAAAGGCTAAGAGGGAACTCAAAGCCATGAGTTCAAGCCCCAGTACACACACACACACACACACACACACACACACACACACACACACAGCAGCAGCAGCAGCAGCAGCAGCAGCAGCAGCAGCAGCAGCAGCAGCAGCAGCACAATTCTAAATACACAGAAGGCCGCAGTACACTGAGCTCTCTGACAAGAGGGGAAATGTCCTGAGGAGGAAGTCACGGCACAGCGAGATAGCCAGCTTAACCAGTTCCGGCTAAAAGGTCCAAGTTTTTCAAGTTTTAGAAAAACATATCACGTGTGAATGTGTTGCCGGGCGCCTCCCAGCCCGCGCGGCCGCCGTTCCCACCACCCACATTGAGGTGCACGTGACAGTGAGGCTGCACCAAGTCAGCAGTTGGAAGCCCCCCGGCCCTCACGCCTCCTGCCCCCCCCTTCGTGGCTAGTTTCTAGTCCCGGAACTTTCTCTTTCC